AAGAAAATGCAATATCTGATTAAATGAGCAGCCCTCCGATCTCCACTTAAAACCAGCACAGGGTGTATCTCTCTTGGCCCTCTTTTCCAGAATAACAAAGCGTCAAGTCTCCTCTCCTCCAGTAAGGTGTTTTTTCAGGTACTAAAAGGTCATGGTGTGGGGAGGCTGAGGATAAGCCAGCTGCCAAAACCACTGGAGGCTTGGGGTCACTGTACTGGAAATGAGTGTCCAGACGTTTTCAACAAGGACTTTTATAATATACACCGAGAATGGGACGTGACTACCTTAAACCTGCTGCCTTACACCCATCTCTCCTGGGAGCATCATGCGCTAGCTCTTTTATTGTATCATTTTTCATTACTCTGTGTTTTTTTCTGCTTGAGATCTTCTGCCTTGGAGATTTGGTTACGAGACGTCTATTTTGCTGCTTTCCTCTGCTCCGGACCTGGCTGTCCTGGACGCCGCTCTTTGTGCGTGACGGATGTTGCCAGCAGCACCCTATAAGGCTCTACAGGAAGGCAGCAAATGACAGCCGCTGCCATGCAGATTGCTGTAAGGATAACTTGCTTTTCTCAATCCTCATGTCCTCTGCTAGAGCAGGGACAGGGAAACCTGCTTACCGTCAGGGCTTTTTTCACTTCTGATCTGGTCTCTTTTTTTTTTTTTTTTTTTTTTTTTTTCTTTCTTCCTTCCATTCCTTTGGTTGGAGAGCAAAGGATTTTGCTGCATGGCTTTCAAGCACTGTGCCTGCTGTCTGTGTCCGTGGCCCCAGTGTTCTGCAGTTCTCCTTGCAGCAGTTCAGGTGGTGTTCCAATAAGGTCCTGCAGCTGTGGCACATCAAGGATTATGATTTCAAAAGCAAAGTGGTTATGTTTCTTAACGTAGCGTTAGCCTGAAATCAGTTACTTCTGCTTTTTGGTCAGCCCTGCAAAATAGCCTTGAGTTTGATGTGTGTATTGCTCCTTCTGTGTTCCATTGCCAATAGTAAATGAGTTGAATAATTTTTACCTGCAGTAAACAGAATTACGCTCAGTTTGCAGCTCTGTGAACCTCCTGTCAGGGTATGTATGTACAGAGGATGTGATTTATTTCACTGATTTAGTTCTGGCTCCTCGCAGATCTGTTGCTTAAGTGGCAGCATAAAGCCAGGACGTTGTGTGCCAGGAGTAGGAATTCATGTGCATGTTACCAAACAGCTCTGAGCTTGATGTGTGTGGTTTGTTTCTCTTTTTTTTTTTTCTTTTTTTTTTCCCCCAAGAGGTACTCCAGTTTACTTTTGCATCAAATCCCAGGCAGTGAAATACAGATGCAGCCTAGACTCCTCAAATATGTTAATTTGAACATCTTAAGAAGATAAATTCAACTCATTACAGCATGAGACCTTTCTACACCAGCTGTTTCATTTGACGCATGGCGCCATCATCCTACCCCTGCTCAGGGCCTTGCAGTATTACACTTTAAGGCTGATGTGTATGCAAACATAATGCATATTTAAAATTTAATCTTCTCGAGTCCAAGTGCTCCAGGAAAAAATGTGGCTGTGTGCTATAACAGATAGGAAAATGCCTGCCTTCGATTTCATTTTATTTCCCTTTAGTCATTCTGCAAACAAGTTTGAGAGGAAAAATGTTTGTCCTTTTTTAGAAGTCAGTGGAGCTAAATAGCAGCCCCGTGGCAGAGAGGGGGCCTCCGTGGTGGAGCACACCGCTTTGGCCGGGACAGGAGTGCGTGTCAGCCTTGATACCGATCACGAGGGAGGCGGAGGGAGCCAGGACCGGCACAAGAACTGTACGTAGGAAGTTCTTCAGGAAGCAGCCCCGCTTTATGCTCACACCAGGGGGAATTAAAGGCAGGGGGAGAAGCAAAAAAACCCCAAGTCGAAGCCAGAGCATTCAGACTCATGTGCTGCAGCAGTGTGTGTTCATCACCTTTCTGAAAGCACCACCCAATTCTCATTTTACTTTCCAGCTTTTACTCACTCAGGGTTATGTCTCTGGGTGTTTTCCTACCAGTGGCAGCGGCAGGAACCGCTGTCTCTCTTCTGCGACCTGGGTATGCCGTAGGTTATCGGGCCCTTCTCTTCCCAAAAAGGAAGAAAGCTAGTGAGCAGCAGAACCGACTCCTGCAACATCGTTGTAAAAATGAAACTTTGAACGCACGTGCGAATTGGTCACTGCAGGTCTCTTCAGGGGCTGGGAGGAAGAGGATGGGTTAAGCTACATAAGGAGCTTCCCCTTGCTTTTCTTGCCTCAGCTGCACTGGGCGAAGGTGGAAAGGGAGGAGTTGTGCTTCGGAGGAACCTGGCTTCATGTCTCCCACTGTTGGTGGTGAGTGATTTAGGACAGCACAGACCCTGGCTGGCCACTTGCAGCTGGCTCCGCAGCAGAGGAGAGAGCGCATTTGCTCTTCAGCAGCCGCAGTTCACATTATGATGGTGTCTGAGGCTGCTGGGGAAAAAAAAAAAAAAAAAAAAAAAAAAAAGTACTGCCATTTTTGCTGCCCTGGTGGAGGGCAAGAAACCTTTATCAAAAGGAAGGGACAGCTATTGGGAGTAGTGTCATACCCTGGAGACAAGGACTGAGAATCAGAGCCTTGTGGTCACCAGCACTGGTACCTGTGAGTATATGTGGTGGAGTAAGCAGCAGAAGTGTTGGGGGAAAAGCTTTTAGCTCTTCTTGTGCTTTTTTTGTGAGTGTAGTGGGTTGCAGCGCTGTCCTGTGTTGGGAATGAATCTGTCTGAAGTCTGTAGTTAAGTATTGTTTGCAGCTTCACAGCTTGCGTCTGTGGTTCGTTCCATCGCTTTCTAGTTCTTGCAATTAAATGTAGTGCAACTGGTGATCGCAGGGGCGTTGCCAATGTGCTTGAATGGGTTGTTATTACTGTTGTTATCTTAACCAGCAAAGATGAAAGTGAATCCCTTTCCCTGATTACATCCCCTTCCATATATTACCTTTGCTGCTTCTGTCCTCTTCCTTCCAGATTTAGCATACTTTTACGAGGTTGCTCAAACTTAGCTTAACCATTTTAGTAAATGTCTTTCAACCAAGCTAAAAAAACCCCCCACCTTTAATTATCTTGTCTGATTCTGTCAGAGAAATACGGACCTGACATCCCCTTTGCCAGTATAGAGGCTCCTGGCAGGCACTGGAAAAAATGAAAATTCCCCTGGCCCTTGCAATTCCCTGCACAAGCCATGATTCAGCAAGGCAGCTGTGTGGGTGATGGTGCAAGAGTGATTACGCCTAGCTGCCATGAAATGAGAAGGCTCCTTTTCCTCTTTGGGGGAGTGAGAGAGCAGAAAAGGAGCTTCAGGGTGTATTTGCACTCTTTTTTTTTTTTTTTTTTTTTTTTTTTTTTTTTTTCCCCTCCCTTTAATCCTCCCTCCAGTCATTGCCCATAATGCCAAACCTCTGCAGCAATTTCAAAAGTACTTCCTGACACTGTGGAAACTTTCCCTGCATAATGAAGCCAGAGTAAGGATAAAGGAGAGGGGAACTGCTCATTTCTTCTGCACTCAGTTGGCAGGAGACTGGCTCTTTTGATTTGAACCTTAACAAAATGATTGATTTTTAACTTCCAATGATGACTGAAGGATCAGGCTTCGGTTTCCTGAAGCGACCTGTTGTGGGTGGAGCTGTCGTAATGTCTTTAAACTCTGAAATCAAAGTATTGAAATGGTCCTTTATGCAAAGTGGCTTTGGATCTAGCAGATTATTTTAACAACGCTCTCTGAAACAGCTGCCCAAAATTTATACTACTACGTGTTATTAAATAAATCGCATCTCTTAAGTTTTTCCTAAAAGCTGAGGTTTTACTAAACTGTGGATTTAACGAGCTGGAAGGATTTTGTTGACTCTCAATGATGGAGCCAGTCCCTCTGGTGGGAAGCCGATGCCCAAGCTCTTTCTGCCACTCAGATCTGCTCTGCCAGCCTCGCAGCTTGCCTTCTTGTTTAGAGCTCCGGGCTCTCCTTCGGGCAAAGTCAAGGATATTTCTGAACACTTTGAACATGAAACACTGATCAGAACTGCAGCTCTGAGGCTTCTGCACAGACACTGTTATGCCAGCTTCTTGGAGCGCCTTATTTTCTTCTGGAATACATGGGTTTTGGATTTCCATATACTTGCTTCCAACTTGTTGCTTAACATTTTCTGCTCTTGAGCATGGAAGGCGCTAAGGAGTAATGCGTTTCAAATCAAGAAGCTGTAGTACTGAGTATGCGATGAGCTGACTTGCGCTGCTTATGTCACTGAAAATGGAGAATTTTTACTGTAGCAAGAAATTTCTTTAAAAATATGTAAACAAAAGTAAATATTTTTAAATTTGCAGCCTGAATACCATGTTATAGCATTGTTAATTCAGTGACTGAGTTCTCCAAGGTAGCGTGTGGGGAATCAGTATGGGCTTGGAGGGCCAAGTCTGTTCTTGTCCAGTTTCAGATGCAGGTTAGCTGTTTATCCTTACATCCCGCTCTTGCTAATATCAGACAGTTCAAAGAACTGCACAAATGGAGGAAATAACAGGGTTTGCTTTAGAAAAATACCAAAGGCTACTCATGATGCTGCTTTCTTCACTTATATAATTTTGTTGTTAAAGTTATGTGGTATGCTTCTTTACCTGCTATGATTTATTTAGGTATCTGTTTGCATTTCTTTGTTCAAAAGGAGGAGTGCTTTCTTTTAAATGTCTATTCCCATTTGTGTAGCTAAGGACCTTATATCCTACTCTTTTTATGAGATTTAATTAGCAGAAGGGAAATGGATTATGGTCCCTTGTACTGCTATCACTCCAAGCCTAACTTCAACAGGACTCTCGAATACCCTAGGTCTGGTTTGGTGGTTCAGACCAGGAATTTGTATGTCTCGAATCGGTGGCACGCACTTTGTCCAAACAATATGTATTGTTAGGGCAGCATTTGGAATTAAAATCCCTGTGGGTAGGCTGCTCAGACCGACCTGCTCTTAGATTGCAGGATTCTTAATTTTTTACCCATATTGCAGTGTAGGTACTGGAAAACATAGAAGATCCTGCAGATAACTTGCAACAGCTGAAAGAGCAATCAGTGTGTGAATCTGGAAGACAGTTGGAGGATGGGAATCGCGGTCTGATTCACAACCACATCGCTGCAGACGTGTTCCAAGTGTTGCTCTGTCATCGGGCGAAGGTATCCAGGGCAGGTTTGTCTAGATGGGTGCTGCATGCACAGCTTTGACTGCTGTTCCCCATCAGTCTGTAAGTAGATGGAGCAACCAGCACACGTCCAGTTTTCACTTGCACTGCCATAACTTTGCTTGGTGCTGCTTGTGCCTATGAAGGTATTTGTACAGAAATTATATGCTTTCCTGGGTATTTATGGTAAGACTTCATTTTAATCTCTCTTGAGCTTCATGACACAAACCAGTATGCTCTTGACCTGCATGAATTCAGGCTGCTAGCCTGCTTTGTTTTTCTTCCTCAGGATCTGGCAGTATTCACCCAGTTCAACAATAGGGAATGGCAGTCGGACTGTTTTTAGTTCTTCAGCTAAGACCATGTTGTGCAAGATGCGAGTGTTGTACAGAGATGTCGTCCAGCACGATATTTATACTTTGGAAATAAGGTGTGATAATTTAGAGCGGCTTGTGCTGTCTTATCCTGACTCTTTTGAATGGCACTGGTAATGATTGCTCCGGTGGTGTGGCTGGGACTGAGTTGTGCTTTGGGACTGTGATGGGCAGCCGACTGACACCGGTAGGGCGTTCGTTTCCCAAACTGTCATGAGAGGAGGAGGGGGAGGAGATCAACACAGAGGAGATGTGTGGACTCCTCTTCCAAAGGGCTAGCTCATCATTTGAGCATATGGAGGAATGAGGGGCATATTTGTTATTCAGCTGTTGAGAGGTCATTTCTGTAAATCTGTCTTTGTGCTATTTACTCTGTAGCTGCCTGTTCCTTGGTGATCAGAGAAAAATCTCCAGGATATTATGGGGAGTGAGGAAAGGCCAGTGCAGATTTTCTTGCATGTGGAACGTGTCATGTAGATGCTTTGCTGTGCTGTGTTTTTAGCTTTAGCAGCTATTTGTTCATCATCTCTCATGTTTTTGTTAAGGGCTCAGAGAGGATTGTGGTGATAGTTTATACTCATTTTACAAATGGAGAAAGTGTGGCAGAAAGTGGTAAAGTAATGCAAGTCCTTATTCAGAAGTGGAAGGCATCCAGTGGATCTTAGTCCCCATGGTCTTTAAAGTATGCTGCATAATGCGGGTAGAGATATTCTCAACGCTACTTAATGTGGATAGTGTGTTGAAGTACGACTTCTACACATAAGCTGTTCTTCTCTCCCTAAGATCTCGTCTGAGGAATGACAAGAAAGAAAACATGTAAAGCTTTTAAAGATGTTTGATTCTAGAGCACAAAGCTCTTTGTGCTAAAGCTGCCTCTAAAAGATGGCGTACTTACGCCCTGTATTACACCTTTCACATACGCAACCTTTGTGTGAACAGATAATGAACCAGATCTGGTAATTGGTCCACGTTATAACCGACTGTTCTTTTTGACTGGGTTAGCTTCATCACTAGAACAGTTTCTCACTCCATCCCACAATTGCTGCTGCTGGCACAAGTGAATGGGTGGCCCAGAAGTGGGAGGAGGAAGGGATCCGCTTCCTTTCGCAGAGACATCGGTGTCTGCCAGTGTGCTGGCTTGCCGAGTTCCTCAGAGTTGAATTCGCACCTCCATTCCCTGTTGGCCAACATAACAAATCCTACATTTATGTCTTTCATGCTCTCTCCCTATGTTAAAACAAATATTTCTATTCCAGTGCTTTCACTAGCTGTTGAGAATCATGTCTGACAACGGAGAACTGGAAGACAAGCCACCAGCTCCTCCCGTCCGGATGAGCAGTGCTATCTTCAGTGCAGGGGGCAAAGACCAGTTGTCTGCCAACCACAGCTTGAAACCCTTGCCCTCCGTACCAGAAGAGAGAAAACCTAGGAATAAAATCATCTCCATATTCTCTAGCACTGAAAAAGGTGAGATGTCTCATTTTCCAAGGTTACTTCTTCTATTCCTTTACTCTTCTTCTAAGTTTTGGTAGTGCTTTAGACATTTGAGTTCAGCCTGTCCCAACTGTAGGGGACTGGAGAAAGTGTTGGAAGTTGGGTACATGTGTTCAATGAGCTAGGATGCTCTTTCTTTTTGTACTGGGATGTTCAAAGATTAAATGCGAAGTAAGAAAAATTAAACAGCTCACTGAGGAAAACCACCACCTACTGCTTCTCATGTTTGCTGCCCAATTTAATGCATTTCCAAACAACCCTAATAAATGTTTGTAATTCCTGGGTATCATATTACTTACCATTTTGCTACACTAAAAGCAGACTTCTAGTTTAGACCAGCATCCAGCTGTTTTGGAAGCTACTTCATGTTGATGACCACTTATGCGGCAGCTTGAGGACAAAAAAAGGCAGTAAAGAAATAGTGGGAGGGTGCAATGTGCATGAAGGAGAATTGAGAAAAATTAAGTCCTTCTCTGTGTGTAATTGCACTGTTAGGATTAATTACTAGTGGGGGAAAAATCTGGTTTGCTGTAAACAAGGATTCTTTCTGAGAAAAAATAGCTGTAATGAAACTAGACTGTATTTGTGCTTTGTTTCTGTCCTCTTTTCTGTGTGATGAATGTATGTACAGCACTGGAGCCCTGATCCTGGTTCTCCAGGATGTCTGTATCCACATACAACAAAATTGTGCATAGACAGAAGTATCTTGTAACATCTGGTATGGTAAAACCACGCAGGGGCTTAGAAGCCTGACTTGAAACTGCTCTGCATTTTATTAATCCCTTCCAGTTAGCATTTTTGTGATTAATATTAAAGATGCACAAGGGGAAGACCCTGCTGCTGCTGTTCATGTCTTCTAGTTCTGCTCTTGGCTCCCTGCGCCTGGTTGCTGATGTGCTGGGCAGGACTGGTTCGGTCATGCCGACACAGGTTTGACTGTTTCAAGAGACTTTGCTCCTCCAGTTACTTATTCGTTTGGCTAAGTCTTTTCCCCAGGGCTGGTTTTTACTCTTGCTCCACTCTGTTGAGCCGTCCCTCTGCAACCATGCCTCACCCTGGAGACAAACACTGGAGTCAGGCTTCCCTGTATTTGGAAGATCTGGCTTTCCATGATCTGGCAGAGTTTCTGCTCTGAATGGTTGGGTGTGTTTTCCTTTTCGGAGGATGGAAAGATTTGGCCAGTGTAGCTTTTGGAAGCAGAATAGTTATTTCACAAGGTCACTTATTGTGAAATAACTGTCCGTGGCTGGATTACAGCAATAGCAGTGGTGGCCTTTTTTTTCGGGCGTGGGTAAGAGCCTTAAAGACAATGTGAGAAGCTACTACAGGTTGGTGGCAGCACACCAAGAGAGAGACTCCAGGCCGTTGAGGCTGGTGAAGGTGGCAAATTTGGGTGCTGCCAGCTTGGTGTAGTGCCATGTGTCTGGGGTAGGCTCTAGTTTAGCCCTTCAATAGTGCAGCAACTGGTGTTCTACCGTTATATGGTTGGTTATGGGAGGAAATGCCCTGAAATTGTCATGCCTAGTGCTGCAAGAAAATCTGGTGGAAGGATCAAACCTGTCCATCTTCAGACTAGGAGAATGGTTTAGGAGCTGGGATGGCACTTGTTGTTGCTGTTATTATCATTGGAGCGCTTGTGGCCCTTTTTTGCAGACAGGGATATAATGAAGTCGAACATAAACCCCACACGAAGGAAGATTTTCCTTGCTGTGAATTAGTAATGCTGTGTAAGACTCGTTGTGAAACGAATTATGAATGCAAGTGGGTGCAGGGCAGCTGGAGAGCTTTGTGATGTTTTACAGTGACTTTACTTCTCCTTGGACATTTCCTCTTTCCATCTTGACGGTGGGTTGGTTCATTGCCGACATGGCTGGGGAGGTGGTTGAAGACTTGTCTAAAGCTGTATCGGCTCATCTGAAATTGCGTTGGAGTCCCGTTATTTAAGCTTATTCAGACCACTCTGTCAATACCAAATTTATGGAAATCAATCTTCATATTTAGCATGTGTCTGTATCCCTACTGATGTTTAGTGATGCAGACTCAAAAGGGAAGAAATAATTTCTCCCAAGAAAAGTAAATTTTGGAGAAAATGGTGTCGGTTTATCTTTTCTAGATGTTAAAAAGTATTTAAAGTAATGTCCTTCTGAAAAAAAGCAGAGGATTTTACTGCATGGCAAGATAATGTGGTTAGGAGAAATGGTAATTGAATTATCTGGCTTAAAGAAACTGTCTGCAAGTCATCTTTTTTTAATTTGGAAAAAAATTGTCATTGGTCGACCTGCAGCAAGGATAATGTAAAAACGGAAAGAAATGTTTTTGGCCCTCAAGACTGCAAAATGGGCTGTCAAATGTAAGCAGAATATAAATGGACACAGGGACTTTCTGGCACTAAAACAATAGTCAGATGTTGGTTGTTTTGTGCGTTGGCATGGCTGAGGTGCACCCTCACCAGAAATGCCATATATATATATATATATATTTAAATTCTGCTGCTGGGAAGCTTTGCAGAAATACTGACTTCCTGCTTGAATTTTTAAAATATATTTATATAAAATATGTGCAAAAAATCTGTCAACCTGGGGTAGAAGTTTTTTCATGGGAAAAATTTTTCCAGCCAGTGCCAAAGTTACTACAAAACCGGTAAATTCTTCTTTTCAGAAAATGAAGGGAGGCCTTACCAGGAGATGTACAAGGCTACTGTGAACAGAGTTGTTGCTGGATAACATTGTGTGGCTTTGTTCTGCAGATCTCTGATTTGGCAAGGCCCCTCCTGGCCAGCTTCATTCTGTTGCCGCAGCTCTGCCCCGCACCCCGGCTCCTCTCTTGGGAGGTATCTCTAGCTTCAGAGATAGCTTTGGGGGACTCAAACCTAGAGTTCCTGCCCCAAGTCTGAGCTAGTTCAGCGCTGAAATAATTGTAAGAGTTTGAAGGGATTATTTAATGACCTTGCCATGGAGGTTTTCCCCCCCTAGTTCCATTGTTCAGGATAAGTGAAGTGATAGTCATCTTTTTACTGGAGTACTTAATTGCCATGAATTTCCTTGGCTGGACTTCTGAAGTCAAATAACCTGCGTATGTTTTTGGAAAGCTTTAAAATAGCCCCCTAAAACAAAAAATGTTTGTCTTTGAGCAGAACTTATTAAAGGAGGTGCTGCGAGGCATGGCCCAGCACTGTGCATGTGACGTGCTCCTGACGGCTGGCTCGGGGCACATTTCGGTGTGGTTTCAGCTGTGGCTCAGTAACTCAGAGCCTACCAATCTGGAGTCATCTACCTGCTACGGCCGGGCTGTTGAGAAGCATCTGTGTTTCTTGCTTTGTGTGTGGAAGTTGGCCAGAGCACACCGTCGGCTCGCACACCGGCGGGGAGCGAGGGATGCTGGAGGCTGGGTTTGTGATGCAAGAAGGGTGCGTGAAGTACCTTGGGTGATGCTTTGCTGAGTGCCGGTGGCTTCATTTGGGGAAGAGCCCAACTGTTTGAGGCACTTTCTTAACCAGACAGAGCAATTCTCCAATTCTCTGGACCCTCCTGAAGGACCTGTGTCATCCCCCTCCCAGGAACAGGGGGGCTGTGCTGCTGTCTCTGCGGGGCCGAGGGACCGCATTTTGGATTCTCTCACGGTTTGACACAACCATTGCTCTTTATCAGTAGAGGGATTCCCATTTAAATACAGAACTGTGTTGCAAACATAAGCAAGAGGTTGAAAAGCAGCCTGGCCTCACAGTGGCCCCGTTCGCGGAGCCTCGAGTGCGCCCTGCCAACCCATGACTCACGGGACTTGCCTCTTGACTGGGGCTGGCTGCTAGTGTTGGTTTGAAGTGCTGCTCTGATCCACTGTTCCTGTGGGCAGAGGAGTGATTTTTCAGTCTCCTTGCCTAGCCTACTACTAAGGTGTGTGTATTTTTGGAAGGAGCGAGTTTGTGCGCGCAGGACGTGCTGGAGGGTTTGAGCACCAGCTCCTGTTCCCTAGATGTCAAGCGCTCCCAAGCAGTAACCCTCCTGAGGAATATAACCTCAGGAATATAACTTTTTTTTTTTTTTTTTCCCCCCCGAACCCTCTTGCTTTCACATAAACAACTGCAAGAGGTTGGGAAGAAACAGTACTTTCCTTAAAGGTTTTCCCATAAGCAAGTTTCTCCCGTCCTGTGACCGAACGATGTTAACGAGAACATTTGACAGTCCGTTTGCTTTTTGGCTCTGACCTGTGCAGCCATATTAAAGATATCCTGTTTATAACAGCCGTGTCTTTCCAGTGCATTGTTCAGCTGGAGGCAGCCCACATGGCTTTTCGTTTGTAAGTATTGTCCTCGGCTCCCCGTCCTTCCTCTCTCGCCAATGTGAGGGGATTTCAGACGGATTCTCTGGCTCTGAGCAGCGTGATCTATGCTTGCCCCACGTCCTGTAACTTTTCACTGTGTAGTAACGAAGAGGGTGCTGGTTTAGCCGCTCTTTTTCTGGACTGAAACAACGTGATTTTTATTTTTAAGGTGAATTTAAAAACAAAAAAAACCCAAACCACCTTTTTTTTTTTGTTGTTTTTTTTTGCATACAAACATAAAATAGTAATCAAGTGAGATTGCAAACAGCGTGCTGCTTTCCTTTGTGGTTATGAGCACTACAGTGTTCTCGCTGGCTTTGTGCACGCTGTAAGAAGTGTGGCTGATTCAGCTGCATGCTCTGCAAGCCCGCGGGCGCTCCCAGCATTACACGTGCCGTTTTCTTGGTGTCGGGTTAGGCACGCTCTACGGCTTGCTGCCAGGCCCCCGCTTTTCCGCAGAGGGCCACGAGGTGAGGCCCTGAGCATCATTTTTCTGCCGGGGGCACAAACGGCAAATACAGTTCTCTGCTCTGGCAGAGAGAGAAAGCAGGGCTCTGGCTTTTCTGCAAGAACAAGAAGATGGGTTCCTGAAACCTTCTGACTTAACTCCGAACCTTTTCTGAGTAAAGGGAACAGAATGGTGTATTTTCTATTTAGAGTTACCTCCAAATTGTCTTCCATTTTTATTTATTTTCTCCTTGTCAGAAAAAATAACTGAAAAGCCCAAGCCCCAGGCATTACAAAACATCTTAGAAATTTAATTGAATCTAGGTTGGATTGTGCACATGGTCCTTCTCATTATCTGTTCCTGCTTCTGGTACTTATTATGCTGGCTTTTTTTTTTTTCTTTTAATTTAAATTAGGTAATTGCTCTGAGGCTATAAACTTATCTTCATCACAGGAAGTCCTAGTTTGCATTAATTACCTTGAATTGAAGCAGTGAGGCAACTGAGTTTTAACTATCTTTAGGGTGAACTTGAGGTTGAATTGAAGTTGTCTTTGGTGTTATTCTTAACCCATATTAAAATGTCCTTTTTTGCATCATAAACATTTCATATGTTTAGATTTTACATGCTCAGCAGAGCTCATTGCACTTGGGTGCTCGTAATCTCCTATTTGCTTGCTACTATAATATAAATTATTTGAATGGAACAAGTCATAGATTCTTATGAAGAATGAAGTCTACACCAATTTGAAAATATCAAATTGCCAGGCTGCGTATGTAAACACCTCCATCCAGTAAATGGAATAATGGTTGCATTCGTCCTCGCTGTTGTAATGCTTGGATTGATTATATTAAAGGGAGACGATAGGACTTTAAATCTTTGCTCAGTAGATCTTTGAATGCCTTTTTCAGGAAGCAAGAAGAAGGAAAAGGAACGGCCAGAGATCTCCCCACCATCTGATTTTGAGCATACCATCCACGTTGGCTTCGATGCTGTTACTGGAGAGTTCACTGTAAGTATACTTGCCTTGGAGGTGCTCAGAAAGCAGCCATGAGTCAGTGCTACAGCGAAGCCATTGCCATTTTTTAGACTAAAGTACGAGTTAGTCTTTGTTTTTATCAAAGAAATAACGTTACCGCATATTTGTACAGCACACAGAGTAATGAGACTGACCCATTAGTACCTGCTTCGGCGGTGTAAATGTCAGAGCTGGTGCTTTCTGTCATCTGGGAGAGCCTTCCCAGAGAAACCCTCCTCAGTTTACTGTCGTTAGTGGGTAACGCTGGTTCTGCTGAGCGCTTTTGTATTCCCATTCCTCGCATCTGGCTTAATACAATGGAAAGAGGTGGTGTCGTGATTGTGTCGTATCACCTATGGACACAGAGCTCCCCATTAAAACCCTATCCTACTTGTTCATGTGTTTAAGGCTGTGCGTGTTATGCATTTTATAGAGGAAAGCAGTTTGTTCTGCTTTTTAAAAAGCTTTAAAATACTAGAAGGATGCTTAAGATAGCCTATTTTTTCAGGGAATGCCAGAACAATGGGCTCGATTGCTTCAGACCTCAAATATCACGAAGCTAGAACAGAAGAAAAACCCCCAGGCGGTACTAGATGTGCTGAAATTCTATGACTCCAAAGACACAGCAAAACAGAAGTATCTGAGTTTTTCTGCTCCAGGTGAGATCCAAGTGTGCGCAAGACATATTGAAGAGGATTTGGGTATTCGCAACACAGTCTTCCTCTCCTTCAGAATAATAAATCAGGTTCAAATGCTGAAAGAGCATTTCAGTGAGGAACAAATATTTGAAGATGGATTTAAACCTTACTGGAAACTGACGCTGGCCAGTTTATTTCCTGTTTTAAGTGGTTGAGGGGAAGAAATGGAACTGGATAATTCAAAATAGCAGCCAAAATTAATGGGCTGTGTTTATGAAGCTGGGGCTCTGAGACTGTGATTAATTGGTTTCGTGCTGGAGACCTTGCTCCTCCTGTCTGTGGCTGAAACAGCTATCTGTGAACTTGATGTCACCACGTGGTGACATTGAAGATGCAAAATGAATTGTGGCTCCTAGATTGGGAGCTATGGGGTGGCAGGGCTGCAAGACTGTCCTACAAACAGATGCAGCTTTACCTAGTTTTCTTCCAAATTCTTTTTGAAAATAGCTTAGTATTAAGACTTTGTAATAGCCTCATCCCTGATTCAAGATACCACTGAGGGAACAGGATTACCCACTTGGTCCCGATTTCACATCTCAGTCAGACAGAAGAGATAAGTGAGGTGATGAGCGGTGCTCAATTTGGAAAATGGTGTGTGGGTGAAGAGCAAGTCGGGGAACGAGTGGGTTTGCCTACCCTGAGGGGAGGGTTTCAGGAACTTGCAGCTTCCTTCTGCATGGTCTTACAGTGCAATACTGCTTTCTCGCATTTGTGACCATGAAATTTTGCTTTCTGAGAGATGAAAAGAAAATAATCTCCAAAGCGGTCTGTGTTCTTTACTCTGTAAAGTTCACTTATTTTTCTGATGATTTTATGTATTCTGCTATTTGTCCTATTTAGAAAAAGATGGTTTCCCTTCAGGAACACCAACGGTGAGTGTGTTTACTATTCTTTGTGTCGTCTTAGGCTCATACGTGTTCAGGTGTTCTGTATTTGTTACATACTGAATCTTGCAGTATAAAACAAAATGAGATTTTTTTTTTTTGTGTGTGTGTGGAATAAAAACATAAATCGGGGGGGGGGTCAACAGAGCATATTTCACTGGAGCAATAGTATTTGAGTCTTGTAATAAAATATATTAGGGCACTTAAACCACTCAACCTATCTTTTTCTTTTGACATCTGTAAGAGTTCTTTCATCTTCATGTGTGTGTGTGTGGGGAAAAGGCAAGTCTTCAACAGGGCGGGGGAGACAATTTTGTTTATTCATTTATTTTTTTTAACTTTGGCAAAAATGTAGACCAATGCCAAAGGTTCAGAACCATCAACAGCTGTGGCAGATGATGATGAGGATGATGAAGAAGCTCCTCCTCCTGTTATTGCTCCACGGCCAGATCACACAAAATCGGTGAGCAGCTATAAAATTTACAATGCAGACCTGCATTTCTCAGTATTGCAGAACTTTTTCTACTTATGTTTGCTAGCAAAGTGTTATATTTGTGAAATGAGCTGTTTTTAAGTTTTTAGGGAAAAGTTGTGGGTTTTCCTTGAGTTTGCTAAGAAAATGCCTTATTTCTGGATATTGGTAGGATCAGAAATCCTGAAGTTAATGATGATTTGTTTGTCGGTGTGTGCTGAAGGTATCCAGTTATGCTTATCCTTCAACACAGCATGCAAGGAAGAGGCTTTTTGGTCCTAAAAAACTAGTTTCTGTTACTTTGCACAGTATGGAGGTACAAGTGTAGTGTATTTGCTTTTCTTTATTTTATTTCATTGCAGTGCAGTAGCCTCACCAGATACACCACCTAACCCCAAAACAATTCAAATTTAAGGTGTGAAAGCTTATTTCACTCACAAAGTCATCAGCATTACATGAAAAATGTTAAATGCTTAAGAAGTTGTATCATTAAGTTTTAGTGTTGTTGTTGTCAACCAGGCACCTTGTTAATAATGTCCCAGGGACCCCACTTACTCCAGCTCATTCTTTTGACTGTGGTAGGTGTATATTTTGCTGCCCTACTGCCCACTTACTCTTGCTCCAGGACTGCAAATGTGAATTGTGTTTCTTTGTCAAGTGATACTGCTTTATAGTTGCCCACTCTGGGTATGTAGACATATAAAATGTGACAGGTCTACAGACTGATAGTTCTAGAGTAGCTGCGTATGTCTGTGAACAGCTCAGGAGGAAATTAAATAAAGCTCCAAGAAAATCCCCTAAATTGGGGGCAACTGGGAAATTTCCGAGAGTCTCATGCTTCTTTTCATGGCAAAGTGTGAATCTTTTTCCTTTAGATCTTAGTAGCAATTGATCTCACTATTGAATAGTGATTTCTGTTCTGTTAATTAGCATGGGTTATAAAGAATAGGCAGGTAGAAAACCCACAAAACGTCTGTCTGTGGAAATTAGAGTTCAACTCCTAGCACCCGCTCTGTTCAAGAGGTGCCTGGGTCTTTCTTTCAGAGGTCAGTAAGGTTGCCAGCATCTTGACTTACTGGACCTTAATGTGTCTCAGGTCTGATTTCTGCCTCCAGCCCATTATGTAAAATGGTGTTTAGAGGTCTTTGAAGAGCTGTGATTTGTTTTCAGCTGAAGGTCAATGACTGCAAAGAAAATGCTCAGGTAAATGGTCTCTCTTCACAGATTTATACACGGTCTGTAATCGACCCCATTCCTGCACCAGCCAGTGACACTTCTGTTGACAGCGCAGCAAAATCAGGTGATAAGCAGAAAAAGAAGACCAAAATGTCGGATGAAGAGATCATGGAAAAACTACGTAGGTGTTTTTTATTTCAGATAAACAAAGGCTTTAGGACCAGGAGGGGAATATTAAGTTTCTGCCCTCAGCCTTATTTTTGTGTAAGGCTTGTGTGAATGCTGTGCTTGAGTGGTTTTGTGTCAGACAGTAGCTGAGAACACTGCATTCAGATATTTTACCAATTTATATGCTTCTGAGCCCTATTGGGTAAAAAAAAATATAATTGTAGAACAGAAGTTCAGTTGTGATAATGTGATCTGTGTGTTTTATAAAACAAAATAGTTTCTGCTGTTGCTTGTTCCATAATCACGTTGAAGACAATTTTTCACTATATGAATATTCCTGTGCGTTAGTTGAGGACTGACCAGTTTCTGGACTAGACTAAGCTAATGGCTCTGTCATAACCTCATACCGGGTTTTGCTACAGAGAAGAATTGAGATACAAGGGGAAATAGCACAATCTGTCTCATTAAGAGTATAACCTAGCATAATGATTGTCTGAAGTTGGGCCATTTGTAACTGGAACTGAGGCGGGAAGCTTTGGCTAGTCATGCATCAGCCTTTGCTACTCTTGGGGCTATCTTGGCCAGGCCAGCCCTACTAAAGGGAGACAGCAGGACTGACTTTTTCTGTTTGGTTTTTATTTTTATTTTTAGGCACTATTGTGAGCATAGGAGATCCCAAGAAAAAATATACCAGATACGAAAAAATCGGGCAAGGGTAAGTGTGCACCCCAACTTTTGTTCCCAGTGAGCCAGCGTTAGCGGCAGTGTGCTGTTCTCTATCTGATGCTATCGCCTAGCTACCGCTTACCGAAGCAGGCAGAAACGTCGCCTGTATTAAGCAGTGCTAAACAGATGGTGAAGGCTTTACACAGCCATGGAAATGTTGAATTTTCAAGGCCAGGTTGGATGGGGCTCTGAGCAACCTGATCTAGTTAGCAGTGTCCCTGCTCACTGCAGGGGGGTTGGACTAGATGACCACTAGTGGTCCCTTCCAACCCTAAACATTCTATGATTCTATGATTCTATGAATTGTGTCTTTTAATGAGAAAGTGTAGCTCTGTAACTTCTCTCTGGGTGAACCTAGTCCCCTCCTCTCCTAGTAAAATGGGTTCATCTGTTCCGTAATATGACTGCTGAATAGCATGAGGGCACGTCAGAAGGCTTTCTGTGTGCTAAGCTAACGATACTGCCTTGACTAAGATATTCTTCTAGTGGTCCCCTGAGTCCTGAGAAAAAAGCATATACAAGTTCTAGCTTTTCCAGCTTTGATTATGTATACGCCTAACTCTGAGGGTATACTTTGCAAATGGGTCTGTGTATTTGTGGGCGGGCTTCCCCGGGGGGAAAATGAAAAGTAATTTCTATTGCGGAAAGGGCTGCCCAGCTTATCTCATCCTAGGAAGCGGCACAAGCTCTGGGGGCTTGGACACCCTGAAGGCAGGAGGCATAGCCGGTGTTGGAAGAGAGCATATTTACGATTTGTTTGTTTTGTGTGAACCGACAGGCATTTCTATGATATCGCTTCCTTTTAATAGCCGACTTTTTGATAAAGCTCTTGCAACATTGAAAGCTGTGTTTGTGATTTGTCTGTTCACAGGCCTGTTTGTTACACAGAGAGATGCAAGTGGCCGTAATGTTTTTTTTTCTTTTTCTTCACAGGGCTTCAGGTACAGTTTTCACAGCTATTGATGTGGCAACGGGGCAGGAGGTGAGATTTCTGTGTTCATTGTAATGAAAATACTTTTTCTGTACAAATGTTCTTCCGTAGGTGGCCCAAATGATTTGACTAGATTTCTTTCTGTGGTTTCCATCTCTGCTATCAACTCCCAGAAGAATGTTTGTCATAGCCACTTGTAACAATGTGTGCCTTGTTCTGTAGGAATTGGATGACGAAAGCTAAAAATAGAGTTTTGTCTTTCCAGTGAAAACAGAGGGAGTGAGGTGTTCCAGAAACGGGTTTTGAAAACAGTTTATCCTTCAAGAATTGCGGGCAATGGCGTCCTGCATTTTCAGAAATAGAACTTTGTTTAGTCTTTGCATGCTTGTTCTCTAGTTCCATCTCAGTAGAGGTGATGGATGCGCCTGTCTGTATGGAGACGGCTTGCCCTGTATCATTCTTTGTTGTAGTTAGAATGCCTTCTCTGCATCCTGCTCTTTGCTTTTATTCCTTGGTGTCTCCAAATCCACATGGTGAAGTTGATGACATCAGCATGCTTGTCATCCAGTGGTCATCTCTTGTTCCTGGGACTAAAATTTTAGGAATTATTTGCTTCCCTTTAAATTCAGATTTCCTTAATTTTCCTTTAAATATCCTCAAGGAGCCACTCCTTACGTCACTGATAAGTAATTGGCCTTTCAACAGTAACCGCATTTACTAGTACTGTAGCGGAGAACCGCATCTTGATAAAACGCAAGCCTTTCAATCATCTCAATGTGTTGTCTCTTAATTTGCTTCCTACATAATGCAGTACTTCATGTCCTCTTATTGACTGCAGAGTAAATTTTGTAGTCCAGTTCCTTTCTTAGACCTCCTCTGCGTTTTGTCAGGCACATAGGCCAACAGTCAATTGCTCAGTCTTCGTGCATTAAGTGGATTCCTCAGCGCTTAATGACTGAGAATAGAATGGGATCTGTTCAGTGGTAAGAAGAGAAGGCCAAAGGAGGATTTTATTGGTGTTTTCAGTGCCCTGATGGGAAGGTGTAGAGAATACGGAGCTCCTCTTAGAGCTACACAATGACAGGACAAGAGGCAACAGGCAAATGTTGCCATAAGGGAAATTCTGGTTAGATATTAGGAATTCTTTTCCCCTCACAGTCAGGATGATCAAACGTGGGACAGGAGCCCAGAGAGGCTGTGGAATCTCTGCTCATTGAGATCTCCATTCAAAAGTCAACCTGCTCCACATTGGCTGTACTTTAAGCAAGGGATTGAACAGGGTGACCTCCAGAGGTCCCCTCCAATTTTAGTTTGATTCTGTGCCACAAGTTCTCATCTTTTAATTCCCTTGGCAATATAATAACTATTGTTTCTACAAGATTGGTTCTTGTGTTTGGTTTTGGACTCATGGGTAGGTTATCTTGTAAAACTCCGACCTGCCTCCTCAGAGCGTTGTGACTGCCATAACTGGGACAATTCTTGTCCATTTTAAAGTCTGGAATACTTGTCATGGTGAGCTTATTTCCTGGACAAGATAGGCCTTTATCTTCCCTTCTCTCTCTGCGATAGTTGATTGGCTTAATTGCTTTGAGAGGGATTCCTTCTGCCTTCCAGCGTTCCTATACCCAAACACCAATTTGCTTGGAATATAGAAAAATTAATTGCCTTGCCTTGGAAGGCTTGTACTTTCTCTCTTAGTTGCGATGTGATTCTCTTCTGCTTTAGGCCTGTTGATATGAAGTTGGGTGGGTATCTTTCTGCCTCCTGAATGTTGCCTTTGCTGTCTGTTCTGGCCTTTGTTATAGTTTGTGGATCTTTCCAGCTGCAAGAGGGTGATGTTGGCTATGGGTGCAAGTTGTATGCTCATCAAGTTGCATTCTTTTAAGTTGCATGCTAATAAATAAATAACTTCCCAGCTGCAAGCTGTGCTAAACTCCTTTAATCCTTATAGAATTCCTTCTAACTTTTCACTGTATTAAGAACAACCAAGAGGTTTTGATACTCAGGTTTGAGTGATTGCTGTCTTACTGTGTCCTATTCAGGTTGCTATCAAACAGATAAACCTGCAGAAACAGCCCAAGAAGGAGTTGATTATTAATGAGATCTTGGTAATGAAGGAGCTGAAGAACCCCAACATAGTCAACTTCCTGGACAGGTAAGTGCAGGCAGGTGTCTGATTCCTTCATCCCCAACGGTTTCAAGAGGCTATAACTTGATAGACTTACACAGACATGGATTTTCTGTACCTCGGGGTTGCAAATGAGACTGTATTTAGACTATTGTTTTTAAAAAAAAAAAAAGAGAGAGAGAGAGAAAGTCATCTCTTACAGGGAATGGTCTTGATGATTCAGTAAGAAGGCTGCTTCTATCACGAATGCCATGCTACATGTAGTTGGGGATCAGCGTGAACAAGAGCACAGGTGGAGCAACACTTGTGGCGTGCATGAGATCTGTAGGGTGTTATCCTGCCCGTTTAGGTATTAAGAAGCACACAGCTTTTACTGTCAGCATTTCCATTTCAGGCTACCTTCCAGAGATCAACTTTCTCTACTGTTTGTCTTGAAGTGCTTATGAATCATTTCATTGACTAGCTCTTATCAGTCACTTTTCAGTTCTTGATCTCCTGACAGGCACACTCTTCATTTTCTGTTTGTAGTTACCTTGTAGGAGATGAATTGTTCGTGGTGATGGAGTATCTAGCTGGAGGCTCACTAACGGATGTGGTCACAGAAACATGTATGGATGAAGCACAGATTGCTGCTGTTTGCAGGGAGGTGAGTGCTGTCGTTGATGGGTTGGAGGAACGAAGGTGTGCTCTGCTTCCCTGGGTTTTGTGGTACGCTTAGGTTAGAATTAATTGAAAACAATTGCTGTTGGAGCCATTGAGTTAGGGAGAAGGAATGATACTGAGAGCAGAAATCAATATTAGAAATGCAGAAAATAACAAAATTACTTTAACTCAGAAAATTGGGGGGTTGCAAGTTATAACACAAAAGAGCTATGGCAGTTTTTGAGCTGGATGTTTGGGAATGTTAGGTGATGGAGCAAATAAAGATTTGGGGTTTGGTACATGGGTTGCCTAATCCTGCTGACAATGTTAACAGAAAGATGCTAATAGTGTGGACTGAAGCGCAAGGAAGAGCAATGGAGTTTAGCAGCTGGAAGGAAGGTCTTTTTTAACTTCAACTAACGAATAATATTCAAAGATACCAAAAAGAAACCCGAGTATTCAGGTATAGGTAATGTAGAAAGTAGAGATGTGAACACATTTGGAAAAAAAACCAAAAACAAAAACAACAATACAGCCTGAAAGCTTACGAGTGTTTTCCAGAAGGAGGAAGGGGAACTGTTTGCTGAGTGTGAAAGTGGATCTGATGGAATGGGAATACTTTAAGAAACACGTACTAAAATGTGATGATGAACGTGATGCAGGCTACCCCTTTCTCATTTTAGTAGTTTTCATAATGTGTGAAATCTGAAGTTCTGTGACAGTTAAGCTTTCGTTATGGATTTCTCAGAAAGATTGTAGTGGGAATCATTTTCAGATTGCGGCAAGATTTCAAAGTAAGAGTTAAAAATGGCTGATGTCACGACTTACCAGTGGTTTCTGCCCTGAGTCAGAGTGCCAGCATCCAGCTTGGCCATGATTTATTGTGGCAGAAGGAGAAGCAATTGTATTATCTGCTGTGTAGGAGAAACTTGGGCTTTTAAAAGCCCCATCTGACTACATCAGCATGACATCTGCTTTTGATGACTCACCGAAAGGGAGCGGACGGAAAGCAAACTCGTACATTAACATGTAGGGACAGGTAATGCTTTCCTGAGAAACCTGAACTGGAAGCAGAGAATCGAAAGTAATTATTTACTGTAACAGTAATTAACTTTTCTGAGGAAGAAATCTAATGTTGAACTATTGGACTTCATCAGAGCTCTGCTGCCCAGCATGTTAGATATGCTTCATTCTGCAAATCAGTGCCACTTTGCAAATGAAGACACAAAAAACTCACTGGGGGCTACATCCATGTCAAGTTGCAAACGGTAAATGTTCTGCTTATATTAAAAGAGAAGAATCTTACAATTCTTTTGCCTTTTATTCTCAAATAGCAAAAGTAAATTTCATGGTGTTTTTAGGCAGAAACTTAGTGTGATAAGGTTTTAATCTAAAACCAATGCAAAACACCAGTATTAGTCACTTCCATAATGAAGATGTTTCACAGCCTTCGCTGCAGGAGAAGTTGCATGTATGTTGAGAATGAAGTCTCACCAATTCCTCTTGGTGAGGCTTCGGGCTGAAAATCTCTCACTTAATCCTTTATGGTTCCCCTTTGGAATTTGTGGGACGCACCAAAATCAACATCTCGGATTTTCGAGAGCATCTTGGGTGATGACGAGTTTAATTTATGGGTTTGTTAAGCAGAGAACATCCATGGTTAAATGATTTTTGACCTCATGAGGTCTGGAGAGTATTTTTTAGCACAAGAGCTTCCTCTGCTGGTTATTTTAAATAATACCTGTTGTATTTTTGTACTCGGCACTGGCTGAGTCTGTAAGCATTGCTTTTGAATTTGTCTTCACATACACAAATTGTGTTCCCATATGCTGAATATTTTTTTTTTCTTTTCCCTCCCATCCAGTGCTTGCAAGCGCTTGAGTTCCTTCACGCCAACCAGGTCATCCACAGAGACATTAAGAGTGACAATGTGCTGTTAGGAATGGATGGATCAGTTAAACTAAGTGAGTACCAGACAATCATTTCAATGTTCTGTGTCCCCTTTCCCAGTAAACTTTGACTCAGAGAGCGTAAATCGGTAGAAGGAGAGTTGGCAGGGAAATTTGAGGTGAATTTTTATTGACTGTGAGTAGTAAGAATTCATTCTGTGTTTATAGAATGTGTAACTCTTAGGTAGCAGGTATTGAAATTCTGAGGGCCCTAAGACTAAGGCCATGTTAAGCCGGAAGAATGTTGAAGCAAACCTGTTGCCACACGAATACGTTGGTAAATATGAAGTAACTGGCACCATACAGTGAAGCAAAGATGTGAATGATTGCAAGAGAAAAGTTGCAGCTAACTGCATTTGCTCTGTTAGTCTCTTCAGGTTGTCCTGACTTGCTCTTAGTGTTCTGCCTTTTTTGTTAGAAGGCTGCTAACAAGAACATTGTTCATCATTAACTGTTTATATCGCAGCCTAGTCTTACGCTGCGCCTGTACTGGGTCTCCTTCTTTTGGACTGAAAGTGTAACGCACTTTCATTAATATAATCATGAAATGATTAAAGAAACCACTTGCTTTTCAGGTAATTGTTATGCATGCGTGGTGTTCAGTAAGTCAGCTTCTGGTGTACGTAAACATGTGTGGCAATAAAAAAAAACGTGAAACCTCTTGAAGAAGCTGTCAGGACTGTTGAGAGAGAGGCGCTTTATCTTACTTCTTGGTATGTACGAATGTGCCAAGCATAAAGCGACCAAGGAGTTAAGGGATGGTGTTTTTACAGCTGGGTAGGAATTTGAAATGCCATGAAAATGTGTCTCAGGCATATTCCTTAGTCTAGATGGCTTGCAGTCTCATATTGTTTTTGAGATGGAACGTGAAGAAAGACTACAAGCAACCTGATTTGCTTACCAGCGTTGTTGGATGCACTGCTTGCTTGCATAGGAGGTTTAGGGTTTTTTTTTAAGGGTGCAATGTGTTTGTGCACAAACTGTGTGGATTCAGTGGCTGAAGATAGTGACAGTAGAGGGTGTGGCTGAGAAGAGTTAGCTGGAGAAGGCTCAAAAATGTAAGACCTGTCAAAGCAAAGCAGAGTGGCAAAAGGACAGGGTTAGCAGCCTATGTAAAGAAGCATTGGCCGCAGGAGACTGGGGGAAGATGAGGAGGAGGGAGAGAAAGGAGAAAGCAGAAGTCAGCTGTAAAAATGCCCTGTATGAAGGGGAGTTACTGTAATCCGTGTTGAGCTCTTCTTTGGCTGTGTGACTATAGAGCTGCTTAGCAGTCGTTTTGGGTGGAGGGTGGAAGAAGCTGCACCTTCTTTCTAAGCTCTTCCCCTTATCTGAGAGAGTCTGGCTCTGGGAGACTGGTGACAGAAGTAAGAGGAACCAGTCTGCCTGTCACCACTGTGCCGCTACAGACGCTGCTGGTTGGTGAAACTGGGTTCTACATCTTGCCTGTCTTTCCTCTCCTTACTGGTGTGGCATGGTGCTGAAGGCCTCGGTAGGGCGAGACGTTGGCTGCTGCCGCTTCTCTGGTGTGTGCGTTCAAATAAGCCGTGCTTTGAGTTGAGTATGACACCTTGATAAAGGCCAGGAAATGCTGGCAAGGAACTCAGTGGCTCCTGTAGGTTTGATTTTGTTTTGTTTTGTTTGTTTTGTTGGTTTTGATTATTTAAGGCAGCATTTTGACAGTCAGGGTGGGGGTAGTTCTTTGTTAAATAGTCCTATTGGTACAACTTAGCACTTTCATGACCATGGCTCTTTTGCTAGCACTGCTTGTCAAAACCTTCAAAAACAACTCAAAATTTTGAAGTCTCTTTCTCTCTCTCTCTCTCTCTCTCTTTCTCTCAAACTTAGTGTCAATGATAAGGTAATATCTGTCTCCTGCCTTAACTGTGTTCTTATTGATGCTTTACATGCCTGGGAAGTGGGAGTGCTGCAGCTGGATAAAGTAACATGACGGAACATGCATTGCTGCTGCACCTGAAGGCTATAGGAATAGGTGACTTTTCTCGTTTTCTTGAGTGTGGTTGTTCTCTCTGGTAGTTACCTTGTGGAGAGGTTTGTTTGTCCAGGTTCCTTCTGCTGAGTGGGGTGGCGCTTCACTTACCTGAAGCCTTGTTTCCATGTCTCTGTCAGCTGTAGTACCTGTATTTGATGGCCAAATCGCTGTGAAATGTTGATCTCAATAGCTGCACAAATAAAATCTGTTTAGCGGGGCAGAAGCCAGGGTTTGTGGACTCGGTTTTTTTCCTAGTTCAGGCTGTATAACATACCATGTGCACAATACTTGCCTTCTGCATGCTGCTTAATTACTTTTTTTGGCTGTTACCCAGTCTGAGATTCTTGAAGGGAGGACTGGGCAAAATACTGTTCTTCTTCAGGGTAATGTTCGTGTCCCTTTTCCAGAGGACAAAAAAGCCTTATCTTCATTCCATGGAATTCTGCCCGGCTTAAACACCTTCAGGTTTTGTATCTATCTTGCACGTTGGATTTTGTAATATGGAGAATGTGGCAGGGAGAAAAAAGGGGGCGACACCCCCCTGCCCCCTAAGCCCCTTTCAAGCATAGGAGTAAAATATATGTGTAGTAATAGAGAAGTCTTCTAGGAATCCCACTTACTTGGGGTGCACCAATTTAACTTTTTAAAATTCTGTTATCCTACAGCCGACTTTGGTTTCTGTGCTCAGATCACTCCAGAGCAGAGTAAGCGCAGCACTATGGTTGGAACTCCTTACTGGATGGCTCCTGAAGTGGTCACACGGAAAGCCTATGGCCCCAAAGTGGATATCTGGTCTCTGGGCATCATGGCTATTGAGATGGTGGAAGGAGAACCCCCGTACCTCAACGAAAACCCCCTGAGGGTAAGAAGCCCAGATATGGCCAGAACTGTCTGTGGGTGTTTACCATATGAACATTTTCAGTAATTGTTCATTAATAGTATGTACATTAAAAAGAAAACAAAGCAAAAAACACCAACAACCTTCAGCAGTGCAAGAAAATTCCTCCACAAGGAAGACCGCTGTCTTGAATTTGCAATCAGCCCTACCCTGAATTTTTCTGTTTAGATGATGGGTACCTGCTCATAACTAAAGCGTTGGACTTTGAACTCGGTCTTCTGTGATAGTTTAGGGAAAGTAAATAAGTAAATCCATTAGGTCATGAAAAACGCTGCTTGTGGCAGAATCTGATCTTTTCTTTGCCAAGGTAAGTATCTGTTGCCAAAAGATTTTGAACGTTATTTTGCTACTGGCAAGAATAGGTCATGACTGCCAAGAATTGTGGCATTTTTACAGCTTTTAATCTTATAAGGGAGAGGAGAAGTAGGCTGCAGAGCCCTTTCTCATCTACACTAAGGGATTGCCTCTAGGCAGGTCAATCTGGCATCTTGTAAAGATTTGGCTTGGTTATGCAATATTCCTCATTTTACAGGCTTTATATTTGATAGCAACTAACGGCACACCAGAGCTGCAGAACCCCGAGAAACTGTCCCCAATATTCCGGGATTTCTTGAACCGGTGTTTGGAGATGGATGTAGAGAAGAGAGGATCAGCCAAAGAATTGCTACAGGTGAGAATCAGCTGCTTCTCACAGTCTAAGATACAGAAGCCATGAGTAAGGTCAGCCTGTGATAAACTGCACTCTAGACTGGCGCTTTTTTTTGTGTGTATTTTCTTCCAAAGATTCTAGTGGAGAGCAGTTGGTAAGAGCTACAGTCATCAAAGATTGTCATATATATTCTGAAGTCTTTCCGTCAGTAATCTGTCCCTTCATGCTGGGACTGCTAAAGCATCTAGTGGTTTACAAACTCACTGTGACAGAGGCATTGAAGTGAGCAGAACGGGACTGAGAGAAGACGTTTGAGCAGGAAAGCTCTTTGTAGGGAATTACTGGAACCGGAAAGGCTCCTTTGGGGCGAGTATGAATGATTCTCAGGCTTGAGATGCTCTGGATCTGTCCCTTCAGGAGCTGGGCGTTGATAGCTGTGTAGATGTATGGTTTCTACTGGCCTTTTAAACGGCGTTCTTCACTAATGTACTGTGTTTCTCTCTTCCTGGCAGCATCCCTTCTTGAAACTGGCCAAACCTCTTTCTAGCTTGACGCCACTGATCTTGGCAGCCAAAGAAGCAATGAAGAGTAACCGCTAACATTACTGCCACAGCCTTCATCTTTTTTTTTGTTTGTTTGTATTTTACAAATCTTTATAATATATGAAATTGTTACACTTCTGGGGGGAGGGAAGGGATTTTGGGGGGGGGGGGAAACATCTGCAAAAGGGAAGAAACTCTCATCCAGAAGACACCCAAAATAAATTGTGGTGATTCTATGGATCCCTGTCTGGGGTCTGGAAGGAATTGAGGACTGAATTACTGGCCTTTTTTTTTTTTTTTTTTGGTTCCCCAGACAGCCCAGAAATGCCACTTACTGTGCTTGGGGTTTTAAGGGTTTTTAATGACTTCGCTGTAACAGCTCCCATTCATTGTACCCTTCTGGGTACTTTCAATACTTGAATGACAGATTCAAGCTTTCAGAGAGCAGTACTAATTTTACCTGCTGATATCTTTCACTCTCCTCTTCCTCTCCTCTATCTGTTGACTTTTAGATGGCTCTAGTAAGCTCCTGTATGACTAGATTCACGGCAAGTGTGACACATGTGAAGGTACATCTTGCCCCTCACTTCTCTTCTGGATCAGCTGTTACTGTACTGTAGAATTGACCAACTTGGCTACTTACAAAATCTTAATGTATCGAGATGTGTTTTGCTTTTTAAGATGAATATGGAGCGAGGGGGAAGAAGAAGTATTCGGCTCTTTCATACGCCTGTGCTCTGTGGACTTTTAATCAAAGATGCGGCCCCTTTGTTGAAACTTAATGATTGGTCAAGTCTTTGGGCATCCATTTATGGATATGTAGGTAGGGGTCAGATACTTTATTTATGATCAAATGATCAGCTATAGTCAGGGCAAGAAAAAAAACTAGCTGTCTTCCTATCTGCTCTTTTTTTTCCTGTTAGACTTGCTGGCCAGAAGCTTAAGGGATAACGTGCTTGGTGCAGTGGGTGGTTCAAAAACACGTATTATATCTGTGCTCTGACTTGGGCTTTGGAAGTTATGCTGGTGCCTTTGACTTTTTTATTTTACGTTTCCCTTCTTTGTATCAAATACATTTTTGTATATGTTGTAATTTTTTTTTTCCCATAGCAAATAATGCCTCAACCTATGGAGTTGTCAGAATTTAAGTATTAGAGCTATTTTTTCCTATTTTGTATGTGCTCCATTTGTACTAATGAAATCAGAAGAACAAATAATCAGATCTGAGGACACTGAAGATAGAGGATTTTTTAAATATGATTCAAACAGAAGATGATGAACACCTGGAAATGCCAAAGCGCTGTTCTGAGATGGCAAAGGCGGAGAGGGGAGAACAGTGCCATCAGACGTTCATGGGGCTTCTTTGACCAACTGGTTCCAGGCTGAGGAGATGCGATGTGTCGCACCGATCCTTTTGCGCTCTTAAAGACATTGGACCAGCTAGAATGGCTGAAGTCAAACATTCAATGCAAGAAAAAGTGCGTCCCTCTGAAGGACAGTGAGCAACTTGAGCGGTTATGTTCTTGGGATGTTACCGGGGGCAAGTGTAGAGGAGCCCGTGCCTTGGCTTCTTCTAGTGCTACAGTCTATGCATTTCAACTTCCCCGACAGTTTAACGAAGAGCCAACTGTAGTTGCGATGTGCCAAACGGTTCTGTGAAAGAACAACCATTACTTTAGTGGAATTTGGTTGTATTCCCAGTGGGGCGGGACCTGGGACGGATAGGGTGATGGTTGGAGGACCCTGAATAAAAATGTTTTGCACACTTTTACAAGCATTGCTGGCAGAAGATAGAAGTCATTTTCAGATAATTTCGGTATTTGTATAGTGGTAGAGGTATCTATGTTTTGGGGACTGGTAGCCGAGGTATGACAAAACCAACTTCCAGCTGAGAGCGGCAGGCCAGAAGAGCAGAGGCTGTTTGTGGGGACGATGGAGGGGAAGCAGGGCCAGGGTCTCGCAGCCTCTGCTGCGACTCACTAGCTTCTAGGAAATGGCATGGTACCACCAAGATGCAGCTCTGTGCAGGGTGCTGTGGTTACGGCTGTTCAGCTTCCATTCCGCTCCGGCATGGTAGTAAAAATCTATGTCTGGTAAATGATGTTAACTGCTCCATCAGAGGAATAAATCCCTCTAACTGTAAGTGTAAGAATAGTTACGGTTTTAAATTCGAGGCAGTGTCTCATTCCAGGTGAGTAAATCGAGATGCGTTTCACAGGCAAAATGTATTCCGAGCCGTGGACACCGTAAGCCCTGTGATGGCAATGCCCCCGGCTCGCGTCCGTCTGGCTCCCCAGTCGAATGAAGCAGCAAGGAGGCATGGCTGAGGAAAAAACCCCAGCCTGTCGTACTGATGATTCCCTCTTTGTCCATTGCTGGCAATGGACTTGGTGAAACTCCTTGTGCCAGAGTTAAACTGGGAGCTTTTCTTTCTTCTTTCTTTTTTTTTTATCGCTTTTTTTTTTTTCATTTCTGGATGGCACAATCTAGACAATAAGATAACTTGCAATAAATATAGGTTTTTTTTAAAATAGAAAACCCATGAAATCATAAGTAATTTTAACTTATTACTTCACTTTTATTGATGAACAAAAATGGTTTAAAACATATATTAGAAAATCTGTCCAATTTAGTCTACTTAGGAGATGATTTCCAAACTTTTCAGCCGTCTTAGCTTACAAAACTTGGCCCAGTCCAGAGGTTACCAAAACGTGTCTCGGCGCTTGCTACGTGGCCCAGAATGCTGTTTAGCTCTGACGTCGAGAAGTGTCTGCATCTCCCCTTCCCCATGCAGCAGTTTTACGTGGTGAGGATTCTCACCCCCTGCTGCCAGAAATCGGGGCCAGAGATGGAGGCTGGCAGGAGAAGAGAGCCAGGAGGAGGTTGCCATACCATGCTTTTGTATTTTAGGGGCTTTTCTAACGGTGTCAGCAAGATTAAAAAATGCAAGCCATGTTTTTTTCCCCCTGAAGGGAGCAGGTTAGTGTCTTTCGGACTTGCTGCAGGGCTGTTCTGCACTGCTGTGTCACTAGGGCAGACGGAGACAAGCCAGAGTTTGAGTAGACGATGATAAGGAAGGGATTGTGTCTGAAAGTGCTGGGATTTGCTCTCTCTTGGGTGCCAGTGTAAGATCCCGAGTCAGATTCTAACCAAATACTCACGGGGATACATACGATGGCGTGGTTAATTGGGTCTGTGGAGCCAGGCACCTTAGGGCTTGAGTTGTGAGCTTGTAGGGAATGTGCGACTCCTGGGATTTTTCTTGTTATCATAGAATAAACCAGACTTTCCATTGAAAGCAACTGCGGTGCTGGGAATGTGCGCTTTGACCTGCCTTAGGTGTTAACGAGACTAATTGTAGGCTTCCCGCTCCCCCCCTCCGCCCCCTGGCTCTCTGGTGCAGGGAGGTGCAAAAGGTTTGGCTAGAGGAGGCGGGAGAGGCTGGGTGCCTTTGCCAGAGGGGATGGTGGGTGGGCCGGGGTGGGGGCAAGAAGGTCATTAAGGGTCTCTCCAGCTGGAGTTGGATAGATAAACGTCTCTGGTCCGTTTTTCCCCCTCTGGTCCTCATGCTGTCAATGGAAATGGAAGTAGGTGCAAGCTTGCTTTTTTATTTTTTTAACTGTCTTCAGATTTTAATGTTGCCTTTTTGTGTAATTTAATCCCATCATGTTATTTAATTGTTACTGCAATATTAACTACTGTATTTGTTGACTTTGTTTAATAACTGTTCTTTCAGGGCTAGAAATAAACTTTTAAAAAACATTTGGATTTTTTTCCCCCCCTTCCCCGCCACAAGTTTATACCTTTTAAGAGTAGCTGAACAGAGTACACGTTCAGATGTCTTAATGAGATTAACAGAATGTATTTGTAATTAAGCTTCTTATGAATGCTTTAATTATGATGGATATCATTTTATGCTATACTAGCCTGTCCTGTTTCTTCTAAAATGTTATTACTCATCAGCATCTGTACCAACCTCGTGATAACGGCAAGCTTTCCTCGCCACCGCGTGCCACTGGCAGATGCTTGTGCGGTCCCGCAAAGTGCTCCAGATCACTGACCGGAGGAGAGAGCTCTGAAATGCCCTTCTCACCCACCGTGGAAGAGAAATCCCTTGCCCCTGCAAAGGGAGCAAAGCAAAGACCAGCCTAGTCCTTCACAGTTATTTCTTCCACCTTTGCTGTAAGGTCGCCTTTTGGTAGTGACTGGGGTGGGACTGATGGGCCAGTAAACCATGATCATGGCAATATGACAATGTTCCAGTAATGATTCCAAACAAGACTGCTTTATTTTGCACCGTCAATAGTGTCTGGAATCCTGTATATAAATGTTACGGCATGGGAGATGCGGGGAATGAGCTGTCCTGCTGCCCACTTGGAAGACGCCGCTCCTGGTTCTGCGCCATCCCCCCTGATCGGCGTTGGTCCGACAGAGCCGAACAGGGCAAGGACGCTGGGTGTCACAGCTCGCCTGGGACTTGGGGTGAGAGCGATGGTGCCCATTGGTAGGCTGCAGAGACTTGTGTTTTTCATCAAAACTGCAAAAACTGCTGCGGTGTGTTGACGCGGCAGCCTAGCTGAAGAAAAGGACATCTATAAACAAATTTACTTTGGGGTTGAGACCGGTTCAGTGGAAATCTGGATGAAGTTTCTGTCTCGGTTGTGAATGTCAAGGACTCGTTGTGTTGTGTGTTTCCCATGTGTTATTGGGAAAGCATCTCTGCCCCTTTCTTGCATGTTGTACAAGCTTTGCTCATACCACTGACAAAGGGAAATGAAGAAACCACTCGTCTTCGGAAGCCTTTTCAACCAGACGTGAGAATGTTGTTTTGCACAAAGCACTGTCTCTTCAGGTTAATGAATTTGTTGTAGTATCTTTGTCTTTATATATAATTGACCCTTTATGCATTTAAACTGATGTTCTCTAACTCTGCATTTAAGTGATTTTGCATTTAATTTGGGGGAAGGGGGGGTGTGAAAGTAGACGAGAGGAGGGAGAAGGTGCTTAGTGGAAGTTGTTAATTATCTGGATATTGGTACTTGGGCTGCTTGAAGGAGAGCAGGGTTTTGGCTGATGTGGTTTGCACGAGTTGAAAGTTGCTAAGTCCTTGCTTCATCCTATTAAGTCTTGTGTGAACTTGCTCATCCTTTGCATACACCTGGCTTAGACTAAAACCAAGAGCAGCCCCATCTTTTTGGATCCCTTTATTCAAGATCGGGCATTTAAAACATTGTTCTTCAAGATGGTGAAGTTGGGGGGCAGCGATTTCTCCCCATCGGGGCTGCTGTTTGGCTGTGGTGAGTTTACCGCAAAGCTGAGGGCAATAATTTGGACAGGATGGCCGAAAACTGAACAGGATCTTAATTTCTAATCAGCTTTTTCACAGTGGTGCCTGCAGAAAAGTGTTTGGTTTCGGCACAATTTGCATGGCTCGTGTGCGAGCCTGCTCCCCAGGGTTTGTACAGCTGCATTTTTTCCCCCCCCCCTTGTTTTTATAACTTGTGTTTTGCTCTGCAAATTGTTTTAAATAAAAATAGCCATCCTCAGTCACGTGGGAAAGGTACATGACACTGTGCTGAGCTCGGCTGCATTCCTAATGTTGCTCTCCAGTTGCATGGAGGAAGTGGGTTTTTCCAAGAGCTTTTTTTCCCTGCTTTGAACTCCAGCCGAAGGAAGGATTGATTGATTTATTTATTTTTCTTGAGGGGGAAAATACCAACCAGTGAGAACAGTGAATTTCTGACTGCAATTCCTCCAGCTGCAGCCTGTTAGGAGGGAGGAGGGCAGCGCTGATGCAGTGTCTCATGCTGTCCTTCCCTTATTGAGCTGGGGATGCTGCTTCTGCCCCTTCCCATCTGCAGGGGGAATATCTTCCAGCTCACCGTAACATCACCCCCCAACCCATTTCCCTGATAATTGAAACAGCCGGGAGGCACTGATGATTTTTTTTTTTAAATATTTTTTCTTTTTAATGGGAATTTTATTTTTTCTTTTTAAGGGGATTTGCCCACTGGGAAGTTAATGATTGCTCATTCTCTTTAGGACACTAAAAGGCCACCAGACTTCTGCTTTGGAGAAGATGTGTTGAGTTGGTAGAGAGGAGGATGAGACTGGGATAGCAGAGAGCGTTTCAATGCATGCGCTCCAGTTTCTGGTGTCTTCTGAAGGTTTTGTGAATATGGGATCTGGTTCACTATGACCACGGGTCAACAGAGATGATGCTGGTGCAACTCAAGACGTCTCCACAGGGATGTTCTGGATGGGGAATGGGGCTGATCTTCCCAAGGACAGATGTCCCCCTTGAATTCAAGGTTTCCAGTGCCGAGGATGATCCATCTTTGTTTTTTCCTCCCAGCAAATGCTTGTTCTAAGGATTCGGGTCTTTTCTTGTGAAGCCCAATTAACTCATGCCTCTCCTTGAGCCCTTTTGGTCTGGCTGCTGGTGGGAGCAAAGCTGCTGCCGGGTTTCTGCTGCCTTGTTGTAGCAGCTGACAACGGGGCTGCTCTTGGAAAGCTCTCACCCACTCCCCTGCCCAGTAAAACTCTTATTAAATAACCTTACGACCGTGTTCAGCTTTAGCTGTTGCCTGTTTGGGCGAAATCAGCGTGGCGGGGGGGAGCCAGCGTGGTTCTGTTCAGCTTCTGTTACCCTTCTGTGTTTTCAGAGAGCATTTATTTTACTGAACTGTGGAAATGCCAGCTTGTTCCTATCCCGTGGCTAAAAAAAACCCATTTAAAATACCTACATTTTAAGGTGGTGTTCCTGACAGCCCTGAAAGGAAAAGACCCTGATGTTCCAGCCACAGAAAAGTGGTTTTCCATGCGGGTATCTGACAGTCTTGTTTCTAGAGGAGCAGCTGAGCTGAGCCGCAGGGACACTTGGTTTTGCCTTTGCAGTGGCCTGAAGATGCTCATACCCCAGTCTGGAGCTGGAAGCCTGTCCCCTTCGGCCATTGGATAGGAAAGGAGCCGCTTGTCACTGTGGTGGGATTATTATCATCCTGTAATTACCCTCAGAAGCAACAGCTTCCCAGCTCCTTTCTCCAGCCTGGGTTAAGTGTCCCACAATTGCAGGATGTGCCATGGGCATAATTACCGGCAATGGATGGGAAATAGTTTTTAAAGACCTCTGAATATTTACTCCCTAAGGCCCAACTTTCAAAAACACTTGAGAAGAAAGGAAAAATCAGTTCCTGGGAGGAGGAAGAGGTGCTGAGATTGTTTTTTGTTGTTGTTGTTGTTTTTTGGGTTTTTTTCCCAGTTTTACCACGGGTATCACAACGTTTTCCATGTCATGGCTGTGCGTGGAGGAAGGGGACAGAATTCCAGAAGGGCAGGGGCTGGCAGGGCCCTCCAGAGATCACCCAGTCCCACCCCCCTTCTCAAGCAGCCTCACCCAGAGCAAGGTGCACAGGGCATCATCCAGGTGGAGGTTGAATATCTCCAGAGAAGGAGACTCCACAGCCCCCCTGGGCAGCCTCTGCCAGGGCTCAGTCACCCTCACAGTAAAGAAGTTCTTCCTCACGTTCAACTGGAACCTCTTCTGCTTCAGTTTGTGCCCATTGCCCCTTGTCCTGGCACTGGTCACCACTGAGAAGAGTCTGGCTCCATCCTCATGACACCCACCCTTCAGATATTTGTACGTGTTGATGAGATCCCCTCTCAGCCTTCTCTTCTCCAGGCTAAACAAGCCCAGCTCCCTCAGCCTTTCCTCGTAGGAGAGATGCTCCAGTCCCCTCATCATCTTTGAGCCCTCCTGTGGGCTCTCTCTAGGAGTTTCTCATCCTTCTTGAACTGGACAAGACCATGCACTTGCTTTTTAGGCGCTAGCACATGGTAGCTTTCTCTTGGAAGAGTAGCCAGAAATATTAGTGTAAGGGATGTGTGTTAACCCTTTTTTTTTCCTTGTTGATCCGGGTGAACTCTGCTCAGTGACCGAGACACTCTCCAGGGGGAACCTGTTGGAAAGCTCTTGTCTGCTCTGTCAAAACCCTCTGAAACCAAGGTTGAAAGGCTGGTCGGAGGGACTGAGATGCAGGATGGGAGGATCCATGGCATTCCCCTGTGCAAACTGCCCATCTGCATCCCATGAGCCAGCCGTTCTTTCCCGGGGACTTGGGTTGGCATCGCTGGGTCCTTGTAAGGTTTTGTTTCTAAAGATGGGGGTTTGGGAAAATGCAAAAGTAAGGGAGATGGAAAGAAACGAGTTGGGTCATGATATGTGAAGTTTTTGTGGTGATCTGCAGTGACACATGGTTTCATCTGACCAAAGCTTTGTCACAGCTAGAGGTGAATTTTCATGAGGGAAAAAATTAATTTTCTGAGTCTTTTAAAGCACGTTTCATCTTCCTGTGTTCAGGCAAGGTCATCTGCTCACTTGAGGCAAAAGATGCATGCTCATCTTGCCTTCTGGAGAGAGGAATTAGATAAAAATGGTAAAATTGTGATTACGTTTTGAGGCAGGCCAACGAAAACAGGGCAGTTCTGGTGGGGAGGAGGGGAAGGCTTGGACAATGTCGCTGTTTGCAGCGTGATCCCTCTCCCTGCTCGGGCTTGCCAAGGTTTCCAAAGCAAGTGCCGCAGTGACTGGGGACCAGGTACCATCCCAAAACCACCCTTGGGTGAGCTCTTGGTGATGGCCATGACTGTGGGAATGAAGGTGAAAGGAAGGAGGGAGTTACAGGAGGAGATGCTGAGGCTGGCCCTGACCATCAAACATCTCTAGAAAGCCCTACCAAAACATGTTTCCATCCCACTGCAGCAAGGGCTATAAGGGAGAGAGGCGGAGGAGCTCTGACGCCTTTGAAGCATGTGCTCCTGGTTTGCAGGGGTTGGTTTCAGTTGCCGTATCCAGCTTGAACTATATTAAGTGCCTCATCCCTGGGTCAAGCACGCTTCAAACCTGTCTTTCCTGGCAGTTTCTGTATAAATGACCACAGGGGGTGAAATAAAATGGCATTAATAAAAGCTGTTGACTCCTTGCACGTGTTACGCTGCCGATGGGGCGGTGAGAGGAGCCTGCGTTGCCCACCAGTGTAGCCGGCACATGCCCTGGGCATGGAATACGGAGCACAATGGCCCCGATGCCCAGCAGCTGCATCACCATAAGATCCGCCACTTGTTCCCAGGATATCGGAGCATGCCCTGGGCACGTTTACCCCCACAGCATGCCGGTGATGAAGGAGGTGCTATTCTGACTGTAGCAATGGGAAACATGGGCTTGAGGTGGTGTAATTTCTGCTGCAGAGCAGGGAAGTGACCCAGCAGACATGTGATGAACTGTTCATGCTCTGTTAATGATGAGTCCCTGATACTCTGATGTTACCCAGCCCATCCCACCCTTCCTGCCGCAGCCTGCGCTGTTCCTGCACTTTCCAGTGCTCACCGTCCCCTTTATTCCTGCAGACCCCCAGCGCTGGGAGCCCAGGGGTCCCCCAGGGACCTGGCAGGAGCTGGGGCAGAGGACGCAACCGCTGGAGCAAATGCAGCATATTTTGTCCCCTATGATTGCCGTCAACTCCATCGTGTATTCAAAGGTCTAACCCAAATGTATTTAGGTGGTTAGATGTCGTGGCTTTCAGAAGTCACCACGGGGTGGTTTTGGTGGAGCTGGGAATGTTCCTATCCCCAATACAGGGATTGCCAGCAGGAGGAGGGGAAATGTCACTGCTGCTAAAATGCCACCTTGCAGATCAATGTGAAATTAGTGCCACCAACAAACAAGGCAAGGTCTCACTCAAGACAAGGGTTGGAAGCAGTAAGCAAGCCAGGCTTTCAAATTGGCCAAAGATGGGCTTTGCTATGGCTTAGAGTGGCTCTGCCCTGGAGAAATGTGGAATTCTTGCATTGCTGGCGTTCTAAGAGTACCCTTTGCATCCCAGGCTTTGGGCTTGGGGAAATAAATTACGTTTTATGGTGCTAAGTAGAAACAAAATGAAGGTTTTTGCTGCTGGAAGGCCCTGAGCGGCTCTGCAGAGCCGCCGCAGGCTCTTGGATAGGAATGCTGGGGGTTGGCGGCTCAGCGACGGCACGGCGGGGATAACACAGGGGCCCTCTGGCTGGGACAAACACCTTTTTTTTTGTTTCCCAAGCCTGTCGGGCTGCGCCACGTTTGCTTACCTGCGGCTTTATAAAGCGGAGGTGCGGAAGCTTTCTCTGCTTCCTCCTGGGGTTTGGTCTGCTCTCTCCCCCCAGCGCAGCCTTTGCTATGGCTGGCCTGAATGTCTCCATTGCTTTTTTTTTCCTGGTTGTTGGGGTGTGCCAGGCGCTCAGGAGGCTTTCCAAGAGGCTGCTGCCTCCTGGAGCATACGGCTGCCTTGCCAGAGAACTCGCTGGCTCGTTACAGTTGTGCATGAGCTGCCTTGAGCTGAGGATGCTGGTGGAGATCGGCCCATGGGGTGGTGGCTTCGGCCCAGATGTGGTCCTGACTCTGCTCTTTCTCCTCTTTGTGGTTCACGGCGCCTCTTTTGATGGAGCATCTGCCAACCCGACTGTCTCTCTCCAGGAGTTCCTGCTCCTCGAGTCCAACCTCCCAGCAACTGCGGCCGCGCTGCTGGCCCAGGGTGTGGGCATGGGAATGGGCTGGGCTGTCACCAAGCTCTACTGGTCCTGGGAGCTGACACAGTTCCACCTCATACAGAACCTGATAGCGTCAGAGTGCAGCTCCTCCATCCGCACGTCCACGCACCACGCCACCTTTGTGGAAGGTACCTGCTCTTTCCTTTTCCACCTGGTCCATCTCAAGTTGCGACAGAGCCACCAGATGTACCGGGTCCCTGCCCTGGCCATGACTGTCACCTTCCTGAGCCACACAGGTGAGCAGCACCTACCCTTTTCTAAGTAATTTAGAAGAATACCTGATTTGTGGGGGAGAAATGGCCCCTTCTTCACCTTCCAGGATGTGAGAGAGAACGATTACCAAAAGGTTTGTTTTCTACTTACTTTGGGGAATATTCATTTTGGGATGAAGATGGCAGTTTAGGATATCTAGGCAGCAGATGAAATGGTGGCACGGGAGAAGCCATAGCTTGCCCCAAGACTGGGAGCGCTGTCCTTGAATGTCCCCTAACGCAGCCCCTCCATCCCGCGCTGAGCTCTTCTGCTTCCCACAAAGCTTGGCGCAACGAGGGTGGGATTTCCCCGTGTGCTGCTATTACAGACCCCGAATATGCAGCTGCCAGCGCTGGGCAGCAGAGGTGCTCCCGGAGCCTCTCGCAGGCAGGAGGGGTCCCGGGTCTCCTGGTCCAGCTCTTTGTTGATCTTTCGAAGGATGCAAGCGAGACTGATGGCTGTGCTTCTCTTCCCATGCAGCCGGGCCATTCACGGGCGCCTTCTTCAACCCTGCCCTGGCCATAGCCACCACCTTCCACTGCTCGGGGAGCAGCTTTTGGGACTACATGCAGGTTTACTGGCTGGGGCCCCTCGCAGGTGAGATCCGCCAAGGAGGTGCCGGGGGGGCAGGGGTTGGGATCGGGGCAAGGGCAACGCAGAAAAGCTGGGTGTAACACAAACCCTTCCTGGCAAAGGGCTGAACTTGGGTCTTGCCAGGGGCAAGTGTCCTTACCTGTCCCCCTTCCCGGTCACTCAAGTCGTCCCTTTGTTATCCATTTTTTTTTTTTTTTAATCCCATTTCTACATGAGACAGAGGCAAAACTCTCCCTGGGGCCAAAGTTTGGGGAAGATGAAGCAAAGCTATTTTAGGGCAATGATGGCCTGAGTTATGCTATTGAGGTTGTCCACAGCTTGAGGATGGAGAAGAGGAGGCTGAGGGGAGACCTTATGGGGCTGGAGCATGTCCAGAGAAGGGCAAGGAAGCTGGGGAGGGGTCTGGAGCCCAAGGCTGCTGGGGAGCATCTGGGGGAGCTGGGGGTGTTCATCCTGGAGAAGAGGAGGCTGAGGGGAGCCCTTATCGCTCCCTACAACTGCCTGACAGGAGGGGGGAGCTGGCAGGGTCGGTCTCTGCTCCCAGGGAACAGTCAATGGGATGAGGGGAAACGGCCTCAAGTTGTGCCAGGGCAGGTTTAGGTTGGATATTGGGAAAATATCCTTCCCCGCCAGGGCTGTCAAGCACTGGAAGGGGCTTTCCAGGGGCGGGGGGCAGCCGCCCCTGGGGGGATTTAAAAGCCGGGCAGATGAGGTGCTTATGGCCAGGGTTTAGTGGTGGGATGGCAGGATTAGGGGAACGGTTGGGCTTTGTGAGCTTAAAGGGCTTTTCCAGCCCAAATGATTCTGTGATGATCACGGGGAGATGGATACGTGCTGCCTAGAATGCAGAGAGCGGGGAAAGGAGGCTGCTGGCATGGTTTATGGCCCTTTTGGGTCAAAACAAGCCTCAGTATTATATTAAGGACAAAATGGTTAAATTCTCCTTGAAGTAACACAGCAAAGGCCTTTTAGATACTGTCAGTGGGGACTTCAGTGGTGCTGAGCTACATTTTGGTCGTAATGAAGGTTGTGGCATGGGCCTGAAAACCACTGCTCAGCCCTGGAGAAGCTCGATGCAGCACATGGAAGGGGTCCGTGCTCTCGTTTCAGGGATGCTCGCTGCCCTCCTGCTGTACCAAGGCAATCTCCCACGACTCTTCCAGAAAAACCTCCTTTACAGCCAGAAGACCAAATACAAGATACCCAAGGCAAGGGTGGCGGCACACGTGGAGGGTGACGAACCACGGGGGAGGAGGAAAGGGGGGAAGAGCAACTCTGAGCCTCGTGCCTGAGCTGCAGAGAGGGGCCAAGGAGCCCCTGCAGCCTCCGTCTTGGGAGAGGGTTTCCCGGCACGGAGGATTTTGCTGCTTGTCCCATCCAGCATCCGCCCTGACCCTTCGGTCCCTACCGCAGGGTGAAATTACTATTTTTTTTTAAAACATTGCAAAGGAATTGGCCGAGCTGACCTTGCAGGATGTCTGAATCCCTGTGCGCCTTTGGCATTAGCTTTAAAAGTCTCCCTGGAGAGCCCAAAATGTTTCAAGCCTGCCTTGCTAGCTCGAGGGGGAACCTAACACTTTTACATAAATTGCTGGTTGTCTTGTATTGCCAGGAAGCTTACGGAAAGTCAGGACCATTATGCGGGTAGGCTTGAGCAACTCCAGGTTATTGCATCGTGCAACACTTGAAATAACCTGACTGGGTTTCTTGCAGCCATAAAAAAGAATAACCCAGTAACTGCCTTGGAAACTTGGGATGAGGAGGAAGGAGGCTTTTATCTTTCGAGTTACAAAATGGATATTGGTCAAAAATTGGTGTTCTTTGAGCTAAACTGAGGTCCCTGAATTGCACAGGCTGAACCTGGCAGTTCTTGCAGAGGAATTTGAAATGCTCCAGGGCAAGGGAGTTCTCTGGCCGCAGGAGACTCTGCTCCTCTGTGGACACGGTGTTTAGCCTGGGTTTCGTGCACTGTAAGGCATCAATAAATGGTGCACAAAGTGTCTGTGGTTAAAAATAATGAGACCCAGGCAGCCGGTACGGAGCCGGTGTGGGTGAGCACGCGCATTCCCCGGGGTTCCTTCTGTGGCTATGTGAAATATTCCTGAAGATAAAACGACGGCTTGTGGAAATGATAAAAAAAATAAATGTTGTGATTGGCGTTTAGGTGAGTGATGTCATTCCTGTGAGCTCTGCAGGGGGTGATCAGCCCATCTGATCCCTGAAAATGGGAGCAGCCGTGGAGATGGCCAAACTGACACTGCCCTGCCTGCTGCTTGCTCTGGAAGGGGGTAACCTGGGTGGGAACACCTCGATAGGTAAACAGGGCTGCCCCAGGCAATGCCGGGGCGCCCCATGGGTGTTGCACCCTGGGGGTTTCTCTGGGGCAGGAGAGCAGGGGCTGGGGCAATCCCACCTGCAGCATCCCTGGAGCAGAGCTGCTGGGCATGGCTGGATGCTGAGCCATCGCCCCTGCCGAAAACGGCCCGTTCCTGCACTTGGCAGCAAACACCTGACTTTGCAGGGCTTCTCTGGGCAGAAAATTCCTGATCTGAATATATCCTTGATGTGCGACAGCTTTTCAGAGCTTCAGATTGTGGGGTGTGTGTGGTGGGGCATGCTGTGCTTTTTGTGCCACGCTCTGGTTGTATCAGTATCCCTGCCCTGGGACACCTTGGCAGGAGCTTGAGCAGGGAAATCTGCTCTTACTTGCTGAGTTCCAAATGGTGAATAAGGAAGAGGTACCCGATTAAAATCCGGAATGAACCGAGAGCCCGGGAAAGCGTCAGATGCAGGTTTGGTACCCAGACCCGCAGTGCACCGTGGTGCCAGCCCTCTGCCTCCCCGCATCCCTGCTACGTCCCCTGTGAGTTTTGGGGGGATGACCCTGCCTACGCTGCCCATGGGCTGCCCATCTCCCCTGCGTGCATGGGGTGAACCGCAGGCTGCCCAGGAACCAAGAGGGGAGTGGGACCTCTGCAACCATGAGACCCCACCGCGTCCCAACAAGAGAAATGAGGGAAGGGACCAGTGCCTTAGAGGTGAAACTTTATGGAATAAACAATGCCTCAAAAACCACACAGCAAATGCCCCCAAACCAATGCCCCCACATCATGCCCTGCTGGGTGCTCGGCACTGCCTGGTCCCTTGCAGGGAAGGGCAGTGGCAATGCAGGCTGGTTTTTATCCTGGTTAAACTGTGCGCGCCTTTGGGTGGGAAAACAAAACCTTTGAGGCTCTACGTGGCTGGTCAAGGGGGAGCCTGGGATACTCAGATCCCCCTGGAAATTTTTTTCTGAACCTCTTTTGGTTTGTGTATTGTGCTGAAAATCCCGAGCTGGGGCTTCCGTTTATCCAAACTGATTTGCTGGCTTGGCTTTTGATTTGAGGATAAGAGTGTTAAGGTTGTCTAGCCTGCCACAGCCCATTCTGGGGGTATTTTTCTGTAGAATATTCCTGCGGCTGCTCCAAGTGTTGGGACGGGGTGTCTGGCTGCAGAGATGGTCACGAGACATCTCCCGGATGCGTGGGGAATTTAACTTACGGTCTGACCCCCACGGTGCTGGCAGCAGCTCTGGGGTAGGACGCCGATCCTATAAATGCAGCTTATCAGCACAGCATCTGAAGGCAACGTGTAACCACAGAGTCAGGGCAAAAAAAAGCTGATTATTTTTTTCATTTGAGGTCTGGTTCTTGTTATTTTTAATTAAGAGGCTGCTTTTCCAGTGCGGTGGAGTTAAGGCGTAGTGGAGGAGAGCTGGACAGACAGATTGGTTCCCGAGCTGTAAATCAAGCTCTGATTTCCAGCTGGACCCTGCACTGTCGTGATCTCTGGTGCGGGACTGAGGGCTTGGGCTGCCCTCCTGGTTCTGCTCCTCACTGCTGGAGCCAGTGCTGCACAGCACAAAGCCCTGGATCACCTCCTCCAAGGCTTTGGCTGCCAGATGGGGGCTTTGCCCTGCTTGCTCAGGACCTACCCTGGAGGAGCCGTGTCATGTTGAGCCCCTGGGACCTCCCGTTGCGGCCCGTCCCACTCCACAGCAAGGACAGCATGTAGCACCCAAGAGCTCGTGCGTGGGTCCTGCGCAGGGAGAGGTGGCCAGGGGCTCTGGTGGGCAGCAGCGTCCCAGCCCGCCTGCCCCCCGTGGGGCCAGAGCAGCCCCTGAGCCCAGTAGGTGAGCGCCTCGCTGTCCTCAGCAAAGGCAGCTGGAGAGTGGCGATTCCTGGAGGGGGACAAGGAGGCTTAGTTTTGGGAGCCCTCCAGCCTGTGCTGTGGGGCGTTGCCCTGCCGAGAGGGTGCGGGCCAGCGGGGCTGAGGGTGCTTCTGGGGAAACTGCTTCTTGTAGAGCTTGCTGCTGTACTGCAGTTCTGGGGTCACCAGCCGCCGGCACATGCGCTCTGTCTCCTTATCCAAGCCCTGCTTGAGGTTATAGCCCAAGATCTTCGCCTTGCCATGCTGCAGCGGCTTCAGGGAAGCGTCTTTAATCTCCTTTGGGGCCACGCTGCCCATCCCTTGCAGGCAGGTCCTCGCCAGCTCCATCTGCCTCTCCCGGAGTGCCTTTACTTCCCGCTGCATGCGCTCCCTGCCGATGTCTCGGTCAATCCTTTCCCAGAAGGTCCTGTTGAAGTGGGTGTAGATTTCCCAGTCCAGCCTGTTCCACTCCTTGATTTTCTCCACGATGGTGTCCGAGAGCGGGAACTTGGTGCTGCTGTCCCTGGTGTTGAGCGGGAAGGAGACAACGCTGTCCAGGTCCCAGCACATAATCTCCTTCAGCAGCACCATGGACTCATCGAAGTACTCAGAGATGAGGAGCAAGTCGAAGGACGCCTCGATGGCCTTCAGCATGAGTTGCACCCGCTCGGCTGAGGCCTCTCCGTCAGGGTTGAAGCCAAAGTCAAACGTCATGAGGTTCCTGGCGTAGTGGCTGTTCCTGTCTGCAGGGTTGTAGTAGTGGTAGGGCTGGCTGAGGAACTCCTCCAGGCTGTGGGCGCGGGAGAAAGCTGACGTGCCCTTGTAGTATGCGAAGGAGGACTCCATGAGATGCACAGGGTTCCTCAGGATGGAAAAGTAGATGGCTGAGCTGGACACTACTTTCTGCACCTGCGGAGGAAAAAAAGGAGGTTTTAAAGGTGGGGTATCACCGGGGCAGGTTTAGGTTGGACATTGGGAAAAATTTCTTTCCTGCAAGGGCTGTCAAGCCCTGGAAGGGGCTGCCCAGGGAAGGGGTTGAGTCCCCACCCCTGGGGGTATTTAAAGCTGTGCAGAGGAGGTGCTTAGGGCCATGGTTTAGTGGTAGGATGGCAGGGTTAGGGGAATGGTTGGGCTTGGTGAGCTTAAAGAGCTTTTCCAACCTCAACGATTCATCAAACCTGTTTACAGAAGCTGTCAGAGGTGCCCATAACATGCAAGGTCCCTGGGGGCAATCCTGTTTCTCTTTAGCTTCATCCCCAAAGAGTTTACATGCTTTGTGGGTGTCCCACCTTGCTCCCCACGAGCCCCTCTCTCCCTCTCCCGTTTCCCCCTCCCAATGTGTCATGGCTCTGCCCCTACCTCCGGCTGCAGGAACCGCATGTGGTGGCAGAGGATGTTGAACTGCCGAGGGCTCTTGGGGGAGAAGCCCCTGACAAACCTCGCCAAGAAATGACGTGGGTAGAAAAGCTGGTTGCCACCCCCAATGGGGAAGGCGAAGGTGAGGTTGTGCGTCTCGCCAAAGCGGAAGAGGATGTTCATGACGGTGCTGCTGGCACTCTTGTGGACTTTCAGGAAAACAACATCAGTCTTGGGCTCACATGTCTCCCCTTGCAAGGAGACCCCTCTGGCCTGCTGGCCTTCTCCAAGTGTCACCTCCTTAACCTTAGAGACTTCTGTCCAGCTTGGGGAAAATCTCCTCTCCAGGCCTGTCTTGTAGAAGACCTCTGCCTGTGGAGGTTGGGCTGAATTTGGCATGGCGTGTTTAAGCAAGCTGCTCCCCTGACGGTGGGGAGATCCTATGGCTTGGGGCCAAGGCTGGCTCTGTACCACCACCTGCATTGTTCCTGCTGGTGATGTTCTCCTGAGCTCCTCCATGGGCTTCCCATTTGCAAAGATTATGAACTTGTTGGTGACAGCATCATCATCTCCCAAGACTTCGGAGATCCTCCCAGGAAGGCTTGGAGAAGGATCCTCTCTTGTTGCTTTTCTCCGGCTGGGAAGCTGAGATTTCAGCCTTGTGGATGAAAGATGGGCTTTGGCCTTCTTGTTCTCCACAGGTTGCCACATCCAGTGCTGCTCTTGGCTGCCTGGGCTGCTTTCTGGTGGGGTCTCCTGGCTGGAGTACAGATGCATCTGGAAAACATCCTGTGCGCTCTCATTCAAAGCAGGGTCTGGCACGGCCTTCCTCTGCCAGTGCAGGGAATTATCCTCCCGCTGCGGGTTGGGGGTCTGGAGGGCACAGCCGGGCTGCTTCTGGCCATGGTCCGTGGTCTGCTGCAGGGCACGCTCCAGCTCGCATTGGCAATTTCTGTAACAACAGGGAGGATGTGAGGCTCAGCTGCAAGGATGGAAGGAGCATGCAAAGAGGGCAGCGCCTCTGCAGCCCAACCAACCCCTCTCCCTGCAGACACCCTGAAGTGTGTTCCCACCTCTTTTTTGGGGTGGGTGGCATTGCTGGTGGGTGTAGGACTTGGCTACTTCCCTGGGAGGTTGGTGTGAGTGCAAGAAGAGGACAGGTCAGCAGCGATGTGCTGATGCCCCTGTCCAGCTGGAGTGCTGTGGGCTGGTGGAAAGAGGCAAAGCAAGAAGAGGCAGGGAGAGAGAAGAGTAGGTGCCCTGGAGAAGCTGGAGGAAAGTTTGCAGATGACACCAGACTGGGAGGACTGGGAGGATGCTCAAGGGCTGTAGGGTTTTGAGGCCAGACAGGACAAAGCCCAGAGCAGTCTGGTGTGGACCCAGAGTGGTCTTGGCTCTGGCCAGGGCATAGGGGTTGGACAAGAGAGCCCCAGAGGGGTCGTCTCCCACCTGGTTTCTCCTTCCTGTCTAAAGACGGCACTATTGGGTGGTTTTCAGGAGCCCACCTCAGTGGTCAGTGAAAGGCTGGAGGATGAGGCACAGGTTTGCAATCCTCCTTGGGACCTACTTGGCAGGCTGCAGCTTCTCCATGACTTGAAGTGTGACCAAGAGGAGGATGAGGAGGCTGAAGAAGACCCAGAGCCGGACTGGCTGGCACCTGTATATTGCTTTCAACTTCCTGCAAGGAGGCAGATATTTCAGACCATTAGTAGGCAGAAGAAATGTGTGCGTGTGAGGCAGGGGGGGAAGAGGCCTTGAGACTTTGTTTTTAATTATTTTTTAAGGTAAGGTCACATTTTTGTATGTGGAAGAGGTGCAGAGGCAACGATAACCAACAGACCTCAGCGGTTGTGCTCAAGCAGTGTAGCCTAGTGGAAATTTCCAGCTGAGATACAAATATCGCACCGAAAGGCAAACAGTGATAACTGCAGACTCC